TTGCTAACTTTCACCTCGTTGCTGAGAAATACCATCAACAACAAGGACGAAACGAGTAAAGGTGTGAAACAGTTGAAGAAGAGAATATCGAATTAATCACGAATTCTATGATCAAACCTTGATAAAAAAAGTTCTGCTCAAGTCTTGGCTATTGAACAGCGAAAATCGCAGGTCTCTATCTCATTCCTATCAAAAGTTATTCAAAAAGTGGCTGACTGTCTTGTATTTTGGAACGCATAGTAGTAGTAATACTTAGTAATAAGTAATGAAAGCTTCAAGTAATAAAAGTAATAAATAATGAAGTAATAAGTAATAACGAGTAATAAGTTGTGAGGAATACTACGAATTTCCCAAATTGTATGTAAAAAGTGCTGAATCTAATATAAATCTAAGCAGTTTTCTAGACGTCCTATAGAAATCCCAAGGAATCTGGAACCATCTCTGACCGATTCATCATAATAGATTATCAATATTCTGTAGGTTTCAGTATTCACAGACAATTTTTATTGTTATGAAAAGTTGTGCACCTTCACCCTCACCGAAATCCAACAAAACCATTTACCCAAAGTATTTTCTACCGTCTTTTTATTTTCTTATTACTTTATTACTTTTTTATTACTTTCATTACTTTTTGTAGTTATTACTTATTACTCAGTAATAACTAATAACTGTTATTACTTATTACCAGGTGATAAGGTAATAACAGTTATTACCTTATTACTTATTACTTTTATTACTTCTAAAATTTATTACTTATTACCAAGTAATAAGTAATAATACCTTTGTTATTACTTATTACTAGTAATAGTAATGTAGCAGCCCTAGTTAGTATAATAATGTATTATTTCTTAAATAAATCATGGTATATGACTATTTCTGGAATAATTTTCAAGTGATGGCAGACAGAGGGCTTCCTCTATTTGAAAGCGGAAACTTGGAGGTGTCTTTTCATTATAAAAACGGTTTTCCAAACTTTTCTGACTAAAGCGATATACTTGGTTTTTCAGCCGTCAGGTTTTCTGGAAACCCTGTTATCAACTTTCCCCATGAAACGGCGACATGCACTCATCTGATAGAAAAATCTTCGGGCTACTCAAAATAGTATTCAGACTGGCTCCAACTTGTACGGCATAGATAACACCCAAACGACTCTTTTCCATATCTTTAATGATTGACCCCACCTTCTTGATATTATGACCAGCTCACTTTGTAGAGAATTTCAAGGGCTATACAATGCTATGTTTTCGAAAAATACATAAATTTTTATTATGGCAGAAAAATGACTAAAGGAGTGTTTCAAACACTAAGATAGGTGAAAATCATTACATCGGGTATTTCACCTACTGACCATGTGGGCGTTTTTTGAAAGACGTATTTATAGCTCATTTTGAAGCCCGTGAAATTTTCTATCGAATGATATATGAAGTGGGGTGGTTAACGAGAAAATAAGTCATTATTATAAACATGAACCACGTCGACCCATCGGTTTACTGAGATGCTACCGAGTATTTCGGATCTTAGACTACCCAGTTACATTATCTTAAGACTATCTTATATATTATTTTGAGGCCCGTGAAATTCTCTCTCGCATGATGCGTAAAGTACAGAGGTTAACGAGAAAATTAGTCACCGTTATCAACATGAACGACGTTGACCTACCGGTTTCCTGGGTTAACCGTGGAGAGAAGCTCCATCAGATGAGGTAACTTAAGAATGATTTGGAAGGGGGCCGATTTGCGGTCTTATTGTTCCCCGTCCTTTCGAAAACTTTTCTGATGATTTACTGAATTAGGTTGACTTACATGTCTCTTCCAAGATGATAATAATAGTGTTATTATCGATTTGCATTACTTTGGACAGTATGATAATATGAATATATTTTTTTCGATGAGAGAAATTACACGACTTGTTACAGGATAAGTGAAAAAACCGACAATGCCATATGCGGATACTCATATATGTACTCTCAACTTAAATAGTTTGCTTTTGCTGTTTTACACTTTCTGAGCTCTGGTTTGTGAGGGTAGTCAATGTTTTTCTGAACAAACTCCGAAAGCTCATAGTTTTCTATTTTTACCAGAAATTTTGTTAACCTGATAGTATGATCGAAAGACAACTATTGTACGTTCCATCATAATTGTGCGCTTCAAAATTCTCAGAGAGCCTGCTTGTATTTCGGAATTTCTCAGAAAACTCTGTAAGGTTCACGGAATTTTGTTTCAATTTACCGTACTTGTAGCCGTATGTAAAGCAGCTATAACGGAGTATCTGGAGTTTACAGAACTGATTCTAAGTGTCGCAATGTTGGAATTTTGCATGATAAGAGCCTAGAATGGTTTATTTCATCTAAAGCAGAGTTTTCATTGGATTTTATAAATTGTGAATGAAAACATACACTGCGACGAGACTCACGAAGTAACCACCATCAGTGTTCAATCGCTTTTCACCCGAAACATACTTTTTTCCGGTTGGCTGTTAACGCTATTCACGAATTTGATATCCATTTGTGCTCATAGGCTTTTCTTGGATGATTCTCTGAAAACCGGATGTCTGAATATCTAATATGGACTTTCATTTGAACTCATTCTGACAACACCAGATTGTAAAGCACGTCAAGTTACCAGTATGGAGAGATTTTTCAAGTCAACGAACTAGTTTTCGAGGAGATACAAAAATTTTCCGGTACAAAAGGACCGAAACATTGGGATTGGGAAAGTTCATATTGAATATTTAGACACCCGATTTTCAAAGAATCCTCCAAGAAAAGCTTATGGACACAAATGAATATCAGATTCGTGATCAGCATCAACAGTCACCCGAGAACAAGTATGTTTCAAGCAGAAAGCGAGCGAACACTCGAAGTGGTTCTCTTGTCAGTTGGGTCGACCTATGTTCCATTTGGCCGAGGTTTCGTCATCTCACTTGAGATCTCACTTGAAACTTCCGAAATTCGATTCTACGCCCAAACGACAAAGGTAAAGAGAATGGAGAATTCTTATTTTGAAGAGGATACTCTGGGCTTGCTATTCATATAAAAAGAGAAAACATTTCTACTTCTTTGGAGATTCAGAGTAGTTCCTCAAAGATCTTTTGCGAAACTTACTTAGAAAACTGAATTTGAAAATCGTTTTTTCATACACCAAGTCTCCAATTTCAAATGCAAAAACATCAGAGTTCTTTACACCTTTTCTATGAGCAGTTATTCAGCAGCTGACCGAGTTCATTCTTTCTGAGACTGACAGCCGTCTTTCGACCGAACTATCAGGTTAACAAATTTTCTAGTAAAAACAGAAAACTGTGAGCTTTCGGAGTTTGTTCAGAAAAACATTGACTGCCCTCACGAACCAGAGCTCAGAAAGTCTAAAGTTTGATGTTATTCGTTTTATGTGGAAAATCAAACAGACAAAAGCAGTTTCTGCATGTTCCTGCCTTTGGCTCAAGTTCGTTTGGCACATAACAAATCTTTTAATTGTTTTCTTACAATAATCTGAGAGCGTTTTGTTTTCGTTGCAAATGGTTGTGTGGTCTGAACTATACATAGTTCTTCAGGATCTTTTCTTTCTTAGAAAGCCGATTGTATTATAAAAAGACCGTTATCCCGACCGTCGGTTACCACCATAACCAACCAAATTCATTCCGAGCCTAGAATGGATTTGGTCTGATTCTTTCTTGCTGTATTCCTGTCGGTTTTCGTCGGACATCGGGTCTGATGAGATCCAATGTCTGCCGAAAATTGAAAGAAACTGTCGAATTTCGCTGCTCTTTTATAGAGCTTTAAATATTGATTGCCTACCCATCCTATCAGTTTTGCAAACTGTTATTTAGTCTTAGTTGATGGCTTTTAAAGATACTATAGGACTCTAATCGACGTATTATTGTCGAATCTGATCGCCGGTTTTTATAGGAAATTTAACGGATTCTACCGGGCTTCAGTCAGGGTCATTCGACCTGGGCAGTAGTTCTATTGAAAAAGCTAGTTGAGTTAACTTTGATGTTTCTGAAGTGTCTGACAGCGACTGAACTCAGAATCTTAAAACTATAAATGTCTCTGAATGACTACTGATTATGACTGATGGAAGAATATCGAGGAACGCGAGAATCGAATATTACTTTGGAAGAAATTATACTTCTGATGGAACTGCAAACAAATGCTAAACATACCTTTGGAGACTGTCTATCAGACTCTGGCGTTTTCATCACTATTCAAAACGGTGGTTGGAGTAATTCAGGTGGTGGAATTAATTCTCTCAGGTGAATAACATGTAAGCCATTTCCAGCATCTCATGTATTCACTACTTGCAAATAGTTCCTGACATTAGTAAAACTTCATCTTCAGAACAGTACGAATATTTTTGAATCTGTTTCCCTTTTAAACATTGTATATTAAATAATGTTCTATGACCATCTTTTCCAAGATATTGATCTAATTCAAGAAGTTTAATTGACTCTGTACAAGAACTAAATCCCCACCAAATGATTTCTTTTCTTTCTGAATAGTAATCTCTAAAATTGCCTCTTATTCCACACCAGATCACTATCTTAACAGATTCTAATTTGAAGAGAGCAGTGAGAAATAATTTCAAATACAATAACCATGGTGATATTAGTTTCACACGTTGGTTTAAGCTTTAATCTTGAATCAGAACGAAATCGAGAATATAAATTCCCATTATATCATTCTGAAACTTAAACTATCAAAACACAAAATCAATCCTTGTACGAAGCTGGGATCGAACACAAAACACGTTCTTTTGATCGTAATACATGATTGAGCTGATAATAAACAGTGTTTTCACTGGGAACCCATTCAGTTGTATATAATTGAATTGAAGCTAATTCATCGATTGAAAGGACATCATCAACTATAGTTTCACATCTTTTTTTAATAACACAAACGTTAGCTAATAAGTTTTCACATAGATGTATAATAGGTTTCACGGCTTCTTCTAATGGTAGTAATGGACAGTCTTTGTATCCTTGAACTGGAAGTAATAGGTTTCCATGTCCTTCTCGATCATCGAGAAAACGTGAATGTGTCATTAAACAGCGTTCTCTTTGAATTGAATAATTGTGTTCGCTTTTTGTTTCACTGTTAAGATGCAAAAGCACGAACACTTTTCATCACTGTTTACCTTCGGTTGTTATCTGTGTGTTTGTGCACAGAAATGAAATATTATGATAAGTGTTGAATCTAAAGCGATAAGACGATGAGAGCATTGTTGATGACCAATTTGCTTTCAAAACTACTTAAATAATGGATGCTTTCAAAGAATTGATTCTCTCAATATTTCGAATATATTTATTTTTTCTGAGTTGAATTAACATAACTTACTTCTCTCACGATCCTATGGCTAGAAAGGAATTCGCCATTATGAATGTGCTTGCAGAATGTGCTTTCAGAGATTTTCATATGGTATGAAAGGCACAGTTGGAAAGTTTTAGAAACTGGCTCCAGACTGCTCCGCAGCTAATTACTTCATAGAAAGCTTTAAGTATCAAATAGAACCCATGGAAAAATCCTGTCAGATTGTTACCGTTTTCTCAAATAATATTCCGCAGTAAATTTTCAAGAATTTCAGAAAGACAATAGAATAGTCTTGCAAGAAAGTCGAAAAAGTTTCGTGAGAAAGCGATAGGTACTCTCAAGTAATTCTTATGTGTTACTTATGAAAGTCTCACTTAAAAACATTTGTGTTTTCTACAACTTCACAGAGTTTGTTCCGAAAGTTTACCACTGTCAGTCCTACATCAAAAATTAGAAAGAAAACTAACGGTCGATTCAGGGTTCGAACCTGAGACGTATATAGCATGTTGTGTTGTGCTCTTACCAGCTTAACGGAGTAATAAGATATCTTGCCATGATATTATGATAGTACAGTTTTTCGACTAACTTAAAGTGTAAAAAGCAAGGTGGAGTAATTTCAAACTACATGGAAGTGTCTGCGCTTTATTAGTACTTTTCGGTGACAGTTGTTTAATGTAATCAATAACTTTTTGCTTGTTCTCTATTATCCTGACTATTCTAACATCTATGTTCAAATAAATAATCTATCTATCTAAAAGACGGTTCCTAGCAGTAGTGAATCTTTTGTGATAAACCAGCATACTGAAGTTGAATATGCCATAAATCCGAAAGCATAGTTTAATAGCCTGACATGAGTACTGCACCAAGAAACTTGTACTAAGTGATTTCATAGTTTATAGTAGAGATACACTTCTACAATAGATATAAGTGATATTAAATGAAATAACATATTTTTCAGGTTAAAAAAAATTATGCGAAAGTCTTCGCGCTAGTAAAATTCTTGCTTCTTGTACATATATGTCCGCACATGTGCGTCATTTATTTTTGCACACGCCCTTGACTATGGATAGTACTCGACCTCGACTACTTATGCTCCAAATGTGGTCTCTGAAATCAGTTACAAAAAATTCCATAGCTTCTGAAGCAAGTAAGTTCCGATCAAAAACTGTTGGGAATCTTCTTAAGTATGTCACTGCTACGTACTGTGCAAATAGAAACAAAAACCTCAGCCATTGATTATCTGAGAAACGGCTGTCTCTAGCATGCAATAACTATTAAACCGTTCCCGGACAGACTTTTTGAGAGTGAGGGTGAGTAATACTAGTAGATGCGTTGAAAGTCAATCAGACTCCGATTCAGCTTGAACGGGCATAACCAAATATTTGTTCGAGGGTGAGCACAAAATATGAAAAAAACCTCGGTTTTTCGAGGTGTCAGAGAGAAGATAAACAATGAGTAAACCGGCAAGTACATTCACGTAGCGCGATAGCAAAACGACTTCTACTGCGTACGTTAAACCAAACGTAAGGTGTTAGTGTTACATATAGTCGTCATTGCACGGCAAGGAATAAACAGATGTCGCTAGACATCTGTACACATGGCGGTTGCACAGCTTGAATCGTTCTGCAGGATATAAACATATAAACTCTATTACTAAATTTTCGTGAAAGGCAAAAGTTTTTGAATTAAAAAGATGGACTTAGCTTGAAACTTTAGCGATAACGCACCTATCATTAATGTTACTTCTTTTTAGATACCAGGAGATTAAAATGTTCTATCAGAATTCTATACAGATGTTCTGCTGCCTAGATTCGAGATAACGACGATAACGCTGGGAAAAAGGCAGATTTTGTATTGTTTCACAATAAAATCAAGAAAGAGCAAATATCATGAATTTGTGTATGCATCGGAATTAATCGTCATTTTCTAACACAATCAACAAAGATTATGACAAGCAGATCAGTCGAAGAAGATAAAGATTTAGTTTTGTCATTGACACATGTTGATTTGACGCAAGTAATTCGAGGTGCAACGTATGAAAAAACTGGACGGGATATGATGAGACTAGTTTTTGCTGCTCATGCTCAGTTTTCTTTCCTTGAAAGAGGAGAATTCGAAGTTATATTAGGTAATATATTTCTTCCACACTGCTCTACTTCTTTTATGCTCATTGTGTATAGGTGCAATCGCCTACATCCACAAGGTTCCATTTAAAGATTTTTGGTCTAAATATAATACGATTAAAACATCATTAACTCAAATGATCCATGATGCAAAGAAAAATACTCCACTGGCAAGACGAAGGAAACTATTTGATGTAAGATGCACGTAAGGCAAAGATCGAGCAGAATTTAGTTTTCTATATTTTACATACCATTCGATAAAGAATCGCACGCTGATCACGAATATGTGTTCCGGGCCTCTCAAACCCGTTTTCTGGCTGAGAAAATTGTAAAATACTATGAAGAGGTCAAAAACCCGGTTTTTCACGCCTTTTTTTAAATTTGAGTTTTCTAAGTTTGGTTACAACTTGGAACGTTCAAACTCAGATAGTCTTGTTCAGCGTTGAAAAGTGAACTAGAATATGGAATAAAAGCCTTTATATATCTAAACACCTATTCGCCAAAGACGTTAAAAGCGAAGCGACTAAAAAACAGGTCTCATTTTAGCAAAAATGGCAGGTGCTTTCTGGAGAGTCTCGGAATCAATATTTTTACAAAATTAGATTCGCCGAGTGCTCCTCTTCAAAACAACGGCTCGCTTTTTTCAAAAATTTGTTTCATTCCTGAGAAAGTACATTTTTCTGAATCAGAAGCGAAAAAATCGGAATTCTGCCCGTAATTCTCTATTTTCTCCATCAGAACTCATTTTTTATGCAATAGAAATACCATATTCGGAGTTAGCATCGAAAACCGAATCGAATGATATACTTTTTTACCCTATCCGACCACCTTTGTTTTATTCGAATTTTCACGTCGAAGAATTACTGAGATTTTCACGACAACATGAAAATCAACGAAAAATTTCGAAACATATATCATTCGATTCGGTTTTCGATGCTAACTTTGAATATGGTATTTCTATTGCATAAAAAATGAGTTCTGATGGAGAAAATAGAGAATTACGGGCAGAATTCCGATTTTTTCGCTTCCGATTCAGAAAAAATGTACTTTCTCGGGAATGAAACAAATTTTTGATTCTCTATCGAATGGTGTGTAAAATATAGAAAACTAAATTCTGCTCGATCTTGTTTGTAATTTGTTTATCTAACATCGATAAAATAAAAGATTTACTCATATACTAAGTTTTCTCTTATTAAAAAGTCTGTTCATGATCATAGATAAAAACTTTTCTTTCAAAATTTTACAAGTTTCTATTCATATTCATATGTACTAAAGAGATATTATATTATAGGAACTTCTAAAGACTTTGGAGAAAAGTTTCCTTAAAGAAAATATAAGAAAAGAGTCTGTAAAGAAAAAAAATCTGATCAATTCTTCAAGGAGACAGTCACATGATTCCTGAAAGAATCAATCAGTTTTTTTTTCTTTGCAAGATGCACGCGTTTTGGAAAAAAAAGTTATCGTCCTAAATTTTAGGCAAAACACCTGAGGGGGACCTTAGGCAAAAATTTCGACGGGAACTTTTTGTCCGCCTTCAAGACGAAACTTAGGTGAAAAACGTTTTTCGACATGCTGAATCGGAATATCGCATTCCCGCTGCTTGAATCGATGCGTGGAAAAACTAGGTAGTTTTCATATGGTAGTCATCTTCTAAAGAAACTTCACCTTAGAATCGAACGAGGACGCACGAATTCAGGATAGATGTATTTTTTGAGTTTGAAGACTTTTTCAGACTCGTCCACAGGTTCTTAGCTGATATGTACTGAGTCGACAGTAATTTAACAATTTGTAGATCACGAATCGTGTTGAACGTTAAGCATTTACTAATAATAATTGCAGATGTTCTATTATTTTACAAATAATAAAATCACATTTGTGGATGGCATATATGGGCATGAGAAAAGAATAACTAGAGCATATTGATCACATGATTTAATGTGTTTCAGTTGAGAAATGGATCAGGATCTATAAACTCACACTTTGTCAAATTTATCTCACTTAAGTAATGCAGCTTTGTTTATATTTTTCCATTTTTCACTTCAGATACTCAAAAGGGGAGTGGGAAAGTGTATTTCCTCAGCTGGTATGTAGTCGAATGGTCATATATGTCGGAGAAAAGAGTATCATTCAATCCACCTGAAGAAAATTGAAAGTATGTCCTTCAGAGTTGATAAATTCGTAAATTTGGCTACTATCAAAACAAATTGTGAGATAGAATATGACCACTCCCGGCATTCCATGATCTTTCTCCAAAAAGTCATGAGTTTTTTAAGCGTCTCCTTAAAAGCTTAAAAAACTTTTCTAGTTTCTTTAGTTTTCTTTCCTTTCTTGTACATTCAGAATTTTTTCTTATACATAGTCTGACAAACGAAAGTCTCTTCTTCACAATGAGACGCCTTACTGAATTGTCCGATGAGATTTCGTCCGGTTTCAAGCATTGCGGCAACCACTCTAAAAAAAAAGTGTCCTGTGCACAAAATTTGTCTTTCTAAATATTTGTATTTTCCATTCAATCCAGTCGCAGTACGAAAAAAACAAAATTTCAAACTTCCGATAAAGTATCTGTGATAAAAACTTCAGCTGAATCAGACTATTTTTTCGAGTAGTCGTAATGTGATTGGATAAAAACTGGAGTTCTACAGAAAGCCCACTGACAACCATATGAGAAAAATCTCAGCAAAATACATCGACTTTCTTTTTCGATGATCGATCTCTGATAAAAATTTCAGTCTGATCAAACATCGGCTGACTTCTTCACTTTCTAAGGGGGTCAGCAAGAACGAGATCCTTTTAATTCGAATGAGACAAGTTGTGTAGCAACAACTAAAACAGTCATCAAGTAAATCCTAATCTTTGGTGACTTGAGAAGAACCATAGTCAAGTCTAGAGAGCTGATCTAAAATATATTTTCTGTATTTGTTCATACTTGTTCAAAAGGTTTTGATGATTAAGAATTGAGATTGAATTTCCTTAAAATGAATAAGTTTATTTTCAAGCAAAGAAGCAACTATTCTGTTTTCTAAGGTTTTTATTAGTCTTCACTATTCTGCAGTTGTTTTATGTCTTTATTCATTCTCAAACAAACAAGGTTAGTGGGGCGAACCCCATTATCAACCTTCAATGTATATATAAGTATAAAAGAAAAAGACTAAATAGTAAAAATCTAGACGAGGAAAAAAAAGAAAAAATTAATAAAACTAAGACAGTTTTTCAACGAGTACAGCAGCTATGGCATTTGACAATGTAAAATTATCAACGGTTGAAATTTCTTGTTTAGCAACACGTTCATTGGTTGTACCAGGTCTTGCTAAAAACGATAAAGAATTTGACGTAGCACTACGTTTTGGTTTACAAACGAACCACTCCTTCAAAATACGGATCAGGATAACGATTAATAATAGAATTAACACTACCAATACCAATGAAAAGACGGGATGAAAAGACAAACTTTAGAATATTCTTGTGTTTATCTAATTGTTTTGAGTAGTTGTCAATTCGTTCACGATGATTATCAATTGATTTAACAGTTTCTTTCACATGAGTTTTAATTTTGTCGTGATGATTATCTATCAAAGTTTTGGATTGTTCAAGTTGTGTTTTTGACGACTGAATAAGATTTTCAATTAAGATAGATGGTACATGATCTGCTGATTTACTTGCACAGGAAGGAGGTGTAGGTTGTACACGTGATCCTTCAGTAATAATAATGAGTATTAAAACGCAAAATATATAAAAGATCATTTTCAGAATCATAAACTAGAAAAAATACAAGTTAGTGCTTTAACAATTACTGTACGACCCGTTATATAGAAAAAATAAAACAAGAAATAGTTATGAGTTATGATGGAGAGTGGAGATAGAAAAATTTTAAAAACAATGCGCTGCTAGTTATTTTATTTATTTAATCGAAACGTTTTGTTTCATCTATGTATGTAGTAACCTCAATTAGAATGCTGCGCATAACATCATCATCAAAATTTAAATCATTCAGTAGTAATACGTCTACACTGAGGTTGGAGAGAAAGTTCAATTTATTACGTAACACTGTACGTTCAGAAACGTATAACTGACATTTCAATAAATAATGGTCTATATCTTCAATGCTTTTACCACAAGCACAGCGCGAGCTATCAAAGCAATTACATCTATACAAATAAGAATTTAAAGGAGAAAAATACGATTTTAAGTGCATGAAGTTGATTTCGGCTTTTCTACTAGGAAAACGTAACTGCTTAAGAAACGAAGGCTTAGTTAAAAAAACATTAATCAGGAGTTCGCGCAATTTTGCAATTTTTAGAGTAAGGACATTAGGTTGTTTTCCTATCAATTCATTCCAATCACATGCAACTAAGGAGAAAAAGTCGTTTGGAACAGGATCAACAGGTTCAACGATAGAAACTTGATTACTACGCAAGGCGTACCTAGTATTTTGTGGATGATACTGTAAATGATAAGTTAAATACTGCGGTACAAGGCCTTTCATGATTTTTGCAAAAAACAATAAACGCAAAATCTTAAAGTGAGAGCGCAAAGGAATCCAACCCAATACTTCTAAACATTTATCTTTCGAGCTCCCTCGCATTGCCCCCAATACCGCTCGCGCTGCATCGTATTGAACTGTGTCTAGTTTTTTTAAGTTCACGTCAGTAGTTAATGAGTAAAGTATTGCACCATAATTTATTATAGACAAAACACACGATTTATAAATAATTTCTAAAACATTCTTCATTAAAGTTCGTTGATGATATTTCATTAAACCCACAATAGAAGATGTCTTAACACTAACTTTATTTACATGAGAATTCCATGCAAGATCAAATGCAATTGTTAAGCCTAAATACTTAACTTCCTCATGTTCTCTGATCGATGAGCCGTATAATCGAAGAGGTGGTAATGTTATTGCTGTATTGCGATTATACCTGTTAGAAAAAGTTATTGATTCACATTTTTTGGGATTAAGAGGTACATACCATCTTTCAGACCAGTCCTGCACTTGTATCAGATTTTTATTCATAACATTACTACATATCAAAGAATTAGGATGGTGATAAATGAGTATAACATCGTCAGCAAACAATTTAATAGAACTTTCGATTCCGATGGGTAGATTATCAATATAAACAAGAAAAAATAAGGGTCCTAAAACTGAGCCTTGGAGGGGAGGGGAGCGGTATTCTGCAGTTTGTCGACATTTCTTTTGTTTGCGTACAAAACAAAACAATATACTGAAAGGTTTAGTTTGAATCGTCAGAGTTCCTCTATTTCGATCATCGTTTTTCTTAACCTTTTCCTGTGACTCTATTGAAAGCAACTTGCAAAAGAGTTTTCATTGAATCCTCGAAAACTGACATCAGATGTAAAAAGCATTTGCAAACATCTGTTGTATATGAACGTTCAATATAAAAATCACTTTCATCCGAAGAAAATATCTTTCTACATGAGTTTTTAATCAAACTATATTCAAGTTTCTCGGTCCAAAATATTAAAAATCGAATTTTGGAAGAGAAACAATTATTTTCAGTCGTCGCTTTGTGACTGCACAGAGCGCTTAGTTTACAGTGTTTGATTCACAATGCCTAATCATTATCCTAGTCAGATTTGAATACTCTAACATCTTTATTGAACGTTGACGAAGTCGGTAAGTTATTTTTATATTTCTCAGCTGCCTTCTTTAGTTTTCTACTTGTCACCAAAGAGGCAATTGTGTCTTGATCTTCAGATGAGTCTAAATAAGCATAACCATATATTTTCAGATTTTTCAATACAAAGTCAGATTCTGATGTAGGTGATGGTTGTGCTTGTGGTAAGAAATACCATACTTCACCATCACCATTTATAGCGGGTACTTACCTAACAAATCTGTTAATTTAGGTTCTTCACCATTTTGTAATGGAATTTTTATTTCTCCAATTTTAAAGCCTAATTTGTCTCTCGATGATGATGATTTCGTGAATGGATTTATCTTCACAACACACAGCCATAACTGATGAGTCAATGATTCTTATTCATATAGAGTATGGCCTTCTCTTAATGCCTCAATCATCCATATGATGCGATTGTACTTTAAATACGTCCCAGCTTTTGAATAAGGTATGTGTAGTAAGAAATATAAATGAAAGGAGAGGTCAGTTTGACTTTTCTTTCATTTCTAGCATAATGATTTGCACTTCTGTACAAGGAAAAAAGAACTCTTTAGAGCTCTTTTTAGTCAAGAAAAAATTATTTGAGTTTCCAGGATTACTTCAGCTTTACTCGGCTTATCTCACTGCAAATGGAAAAGATGCAAGTCTCAATACACTATACTCGATGAATCGGCGGTTAGTGCTTACGTGGTCAGACTGTCATTCTCGTTATGTTACAGTTTTCGAAGCAAATTTAAAAGATCTCAAAAATAACATTCGTTCTATCCTGGTTGACACCAAGAAAAACTGGATGAAAAGGCTCGATTAAGAAAATGTCAGTTTTTTCATTCTAATTATTGTTTCGATCATCGAAGGTAGTGTAACGAAGGTAAGATAAACATACTTTACGCCATATTTTTGGGTGCAAGCAGTCTTTCTTGTCTATATAATTTGTAGAAGTTCAGTAAATCGTTCCGGTTTATGCATCTAGCAAAACTATAAAACTAAACAGCGGAAGGCTGAACCTGAATCGCTGATCTTTTGGTAAAGCTTGGTTCGCTATTTTTAGACTCTCCTTTGTACGATGTCTGCCGATTACTTGTGGAATACATGTGTGAATACATCGAACAACACTCATCAGCATACGCACAGGCGTATTTCTTCAGACTATATCGATGATTGACTAAAACCATTTATAATAAATCAGATATGTTGATAATTGAAGAAGAAAGCCTATGAACTAGCGCAGAACCAAAAAAATTACATTTGCAAAAGTACAATTGAAAAAGTTACATTCTTTCACTGAACTATAGGTTGTTAACAAAATATGAAAGGTGTTGATACCGTTTGAAACGGTGCAAGAAAATTAAAAGAAAAATTGAGACTTTTTTCTGTACTCAAGGGCGCTGGGACGCGTTTATTGAATCAAAATCTAACAGGTGCGCCTTGACGCATCGTAATATGTCGCGTTTAAACGCATCTGAGGTAAAGACCTGTAAAGTCGCGATGTTGCATAAACGTTTGAATTGTCGCGGTTAAATGCGTCATATTGTAGCGCGTCTAGCCGCGTTGGAGCTACTGTACTGGACGCGTTCTTTCTGCCAAAATTTTCCAGACGCGTCTTGACATATTTAGACGCATTTTCTTACAACTGCCACATAAAACGCGTCAGTTCGCGTTTTTCCAAGCAAAAGTTCACAAACGGGTTTAGTCGCGTTAGTATAAGACGCGTTTAAACGTGCCTGTTAGGTTTTCCCCAAAATACACGCGTTTAGACGCGTCTTTTCGGATCGAAACGCGTTTCTTCAGACGCAGCAAGGTACATGGGAAGAGAAGTCGATATACCCGATGAGATGAACCGAGCCTGAGTTCTCTCGTTCTTTCCATTTTTGAGTTATTTAACGAACAGTCGCAGGCCTCATAATTTGAAAAGGATAGCAGAAATGTCAGCAGGACAAAAAGAGAAAATGTTCGTCTGACTTTTAAAATTTTCTGGTAGAAATATTTATCCAAGAACAGGTTAGAAAATCTTTTGAATATTCTTTTGAAAAAACAATTTACATGTAAGGTGTCCGCAACGCAAAAATGCAGTACTATCTTAGTTTTCAGTCGAAAGCTACATAGTCAGCTACTCCTGACTGCGCTGATTCCAAATATTGCCTTTGTATTTGGATCCGATCAAGTTTTGAGGGAGAAATTCTCAAAATACTAAGAGCACCGAAAGAAAAAGAAAATTGCACCACTCTGAGAAAACTTAAAATTTTACCCCCTTTCGTTCACTGTATTCTTTTGAATTTGATATATTTGGATTCCCCTCAAAAACCGAGTCTAATCATATACCTCTGAGTCACAAAAAATAAAATACCTGAGTTGCACAATGGACGGGGGTCGATAAGAGGCAAAATCGGCCCCCTCTCAGATCAAGCTCATATTCACCAGTCTGATGTAGTTTTTCTCGCTGATTAGAACTAGCATTTCAAAAAAACCATTTTCAGCCCTCCTGGAAAAAATTCCGCATCCAAACTTTTCTCCCCTTTAATGAACTTTATTTAGAATATTTTCCCAGTTTCTCCTCTTTGTCCAAAGGAAACCTAAACTACTGTACATCATTCGATAGAGAATTTCGCGGGCTACAAAATGATATATATAATATTGAGAGCAAATGGGGCGTGGGTGTTCTAACACAAGAAATACTAGCCCCCACGTCCACAAATCCATAGGTCAGCAGCGTTTATCGCTTGTATTGTCCAACCAGTTTATCGTTAACCACGCCACTTTATATATCATTCGATGGAGAATTTCGCGGGCTACAAAATGATATATTTAATATTGAGAGCAAATCGGGCTCGGCTCTCTTAACGCTACACGTATCGACACAAACATACGAAATACCGGTGATGCTAATCGTCGAAAACTAGACGCTCAAAATAAACGAGCTTCGCAAGAACAACAACGATCCATTATGCAAGTAAACTGTACAAATCTCTGTTAACTATAATCACTTTTATTCCAAACCACTCCAACTACCAAAAGCATTCAAAACACATCTATATATATATTCGCACAGACGAGAGAGAACATATTCTGTTTTGAAAATTCACAAAATATCTTTGTTCAACACAATGCAAGTCAAAAGCAATAATAACAATAGCACGCTTATCGGTGACAATTGACGAACGATGATAACAATGAACTATTGGTGAAATGTGGGTTAAATTATATGGACTTTTCAAAAGAACGGGAACTGGTACCACCTCTTTTCAAAAATTAAAAATAAAACTGGTGAACCTAGTTACACTGACTTTGTCTAGTGCGCTAGAGGTAGATGATGCCTATAAGTTGACTAAACCAAGTCAATATAATAAACTATATTGATTTTGTTTTACTTTGAATTCTTGAAAAGAATTGGTACCAGTTCCCGTTCTTTTGCAAAGAACCGGTAACTGGTTCTTAGGAGCTGGAACTGTCCCACACCTAATGGAAATCCGTTACCGTACTAAAAGTAGCGGTAAAAGATTCTTTTGTTGTTTCGGCAATCCCTTAATTATTTTGTTAAACTGCTCTAACTGATGAAAAAAAACATTTTCCCTGTTTCTATACAGTTTCTAATGTGTAAAATGTTTGACAATTAGATCTGTTTGTCTGAATTTTGCTTGATGGTACGTAAGGTGGCAAGTTTTGATGATCAGTTTGTGCTTATGGGTTGTATATAGAAAGGTGGTCCTTAGCAAGGAAAGAGAAAGAGCGCACAGTATCATTTTTCAATTGCAAGTAGGTTTTGAACGAAATACTATATACTTACTTTAATTTCTATTTATTTTACTGTGCTCATTTATGCCTTGTAAAACTCCTTTTTCATTTATTAATTACCTATTTGCTTCGTTCTAAAAGTGCACATAATATATTCTTGGATGGTTTCTTCCCGATTGGCATCTTCGTTAGATTTTCCGATAAGCATTCGGGAAAAATTGTAGGTATGTCAAAGTTCTACTCTATTTTTCTCTCTGCTAGCCTCCACAGATTTTATTCGTAAGAGTAAACTGACAAACAGTAAAACAACTCTCTTTTTTCTTCGTGTGTACAAACAAGCAGTATACATATATGATGAAAGAATGTTGACTCAATAAGAACTGAGTCAACATTCTTTGTGGCCATGAGAACGTAAAAGAGGAAGCAGAAGAATGTCAGTGACTACGGGCATAACACCCTGTCGTTCATTCCTCTTGATTTTCCTGATTGGAGCATTTTTCCTTTTTCTGATTGTATCAGTTTTCGAAAACTTCCTGATTCTTGATATTTTCTGATCGCAGCTTTTTCTTTTTTCTCAAATTTTGAAAGGTAATAATTTTTAAAGATTTCGAACGAAAAGTACACTTACTTTAATTTGTAGTTACTTTTTACTTATTTTATTGTGCTCATGTTTGCCTTGTAAAACCTCTTTTTCACTTATTAATTACCTATTTGCTTCGTAGTAGCATTTTTCATACAACGGTTTACGCAGAAACGTAAATCTTCTTTTTTCAGTTGTATGCTTCAACGCAAGTCTGAATGGTGGAACCTGTTCGTCTTCCAATACCTGCGCTTGTGCAAGGCGCTATTTGGACCCCACATACGCTGCACTTGAGAAAAAATAACATTTCCTTACTTGCGGCGCTTTCTCGATAGCCTTCCACCAGTCAAAGTGCTTTCTATTCATTCTAAACACACTCTTGACATCAAGAATATGAGGTAGATGAGCTGGAGTATATGTTGAAGTTCTCTAGTAGTGTGGTTCGCTTTTGACGTGTTATTTTGCCGAGTCATTTAAAAAGTAGGAACCTGTCGAATCTGAGAATAACACTCAGGATGGATTTAAGATACTCTTAGGAAACTAGTATTTCGGTTAGGTTTGTCTACTACTCAATTCGTAGGCCTAATTAGACCGCGGTGGACAGAGGTCTTCCATGGGCCAATCTTACTGTTTACTAATTAGGTTTGGATACATGAGAGAATCTCAATTTTCTCAAAAACTCACTCTCAAAGAGGGCTGCGCGATTACAATTACAAAATGTAAAGTTCATACATTGCTATTATCTGTAGAATTAAGAATTCTAGAATTCTGAACTTTACATACATGTAAAGTTGCTTATTCACCTTCATCCTCACCCTCACCCCCACATTCACCCATAGAATTCAAAATTTTAGAAAATTCTGAACAAGTAAAGTTCAACTTTACATACATGTAAAGTTCATAATTCTAGAATTCTTAATTCTACAGGTAATAGCAATGTTTGAACTTTACATTTTGTAATTGTAATCGCGCACGTCTGCTCTCAAAAACTTTTTAAAGAAAATCAAAAAATCAGAAAAAATGTGCGTATGTGCGATTTCGTAAGAAGTAGTTGGTAGACTGTCTGTTTTACTAATTGCACATTGCAATTACTTCGTACGTTAAAAGTGCAAAGTCGCAGGTGAGTAGTTATGCTAACTATCAAAAGTCTCTTACTTCTCCATCGAGAAATCTACAAATTGCTTGCTCTTTGTACCTTGCAAACAATTCATATGAAAATGTGAGAATTCGCAAGTTCATTGCTGTTAAAATAGATCAAAGTCGAAAAACGTTTTCGTCTAGGTGAAAAAATCTGCAAATAGCGTGCACTTTGCACATTACAGTCAATTTGTACGAAAATGTGGGAATTCGTAAATGGGCAGCTACGATAATTATCCGAAGTTGAAGAAAGTTTCTCTCTCTATAATATGTTAAATTACATGGCACATGTCATCATAAAAAACAAATGATGGAATGTGTGAATTCGTAGAATTTAATACGAAGTAATTGCAATTGCAAAGTGCAAGCAATACGCAGATTTTCAGAACTGGAGAGAAACTTTCTTCCACTTCCGCTATTTATCGTCCGTAGTCAAGTATGAATTCGCACGGTTAGATACGAATAACTGCAATGTGCAAAGCAGTTTCGACATTTCTCGAGGGGTAGGGAAACTTTCGTTCACTTCTGATATTTGCGATGAGTAGTCATGTGTGAATTCGCAGAATTTAATAAGAAATAACTGCAAGGTGCAAGCAATGCGCACATTTTTGCAACTGGAGGAAAACCTTCTTCCACTTCCGATATTTATCGTGCGTAGTCATGTGGGTTCTACTTTAGATTGGTGAACGACTCTGTCTTGCACATAGTTGGATTCATATTCTACAGTAACGGTTTCCAAAGTGCTCATTTTTACATTGCTTCGAGTTGACACATAACTTTTGCTTTCTTTTTTGAAAAATTTACATAGTTCGGCGAATTCGATCTTGCACATCGTTGTTTTAAATTTGGTAACGACGATGTACAAAACTGCACATTGCCACCATCGTTGAATTGACATCTAAACACGTCAGCGAGTTTTGTCGAATTTGTGTCTGCACATTGATGAGCATGTTTTCAACAATGTACAATTCGCCATCACTTCGGAAATGCAGATTGTTGAGACGGAAAAAGACCTTGAATAGTTTCTAAATGCAATGCGCTCCTCGATACACTTCCCAGATTTGGTATGTTTACACAGTGCTCGAAGTACCGGTTAATTGCAGCGAAGTACAAGTCGCGTGGGAAAACGCAATCTGCGAATTCGTGTTTCAACGCCTTGGCCGCACCACTCAAAAATAGTCCAATGTTTGTAAAAGAATCGTCAATGAAAAGAAAGATTAAGAAGAGGTGTATGAGTTTGTATCACGTTTCTTTTTCAATGATAAGACGTTTATTTTGGCCAGATAGTCCAGACAAACGTTTTTTCCGGAATTTATTTCAACAACATAAAGAGCACAACATCTATAAAGTTTTGTTTTTTATCATTAATATAGCTTATATTTGTGTTTCTATGCTAGCTATAGTCATTATTTGATTCCTGTTAGTTCTCACAATTTTGCACAATCCCATCGCTAACTTTTTCTTAAATTGCTTTCGAAACGCTGACGATGAAGCCATATAAACATAGAAGCTTGTACTATAATTGAAATAAAAGACCAAATTAGCCAATGTTGAAAATAAATTTTCTTGTGCTAATCTAAACAGATCCTTCTCCTGACCAAGTGTGATGGCAAGATAAATGCTTCTAGTACAATATGGTACGGCCGATATGATGACTGTTGTAATTTGTAATAGACACATTTTTGTTATTTGTTCATTCATATGATTCCTATTGCCATTTTTTTGTTGTTGGGCCAGTGCAGCACGATAGTGAATTCTGCGAATATTGTTATAAGTCATGATGCTAAAAATGATCATTATCAATATTGGTAATATACCATAAAATACTGGGTTCACAAAGTAAACATTATAATTATTGAATATGGTTGAAACATAATTGCAGGCAGTTATATTTTGTGATACAGCATAAATATTAGTCAAAACAACAGTAGGAACTTGTGCTGCTGACCAGAAAATGATTGTTATGACGATTGAACATCGTGCGGTTAACAGATTACTGAATCGACGTCGTTCAACGTCTGGGCAAGTTGACATCCATCGATCGATTGTTGCCAAACACTTACAAGCAATAGATGCCAAAGCCAATCCATTAGCAACGGAAAACCGTAGTTTACACAGACTAAGATACAACAGTGTGACATCATACCCGAAACCATTAATGATGATGCGGAGAAGAAATGCAGTTGATAAAAGCATAAAATCGAGTATTGATGATGCCAATAGATACGATGTACATGGATTTGGACGTAACTGTTTCTGTAAAAATAACACGATATTGAAACCATTACCAAATAAACCACCTATCAGCAAGAATATACCAATGTATATTGTTGTCTGTTGTGAAACAAAGTTTAGATATACAACAGTTGTTATCATCGACATGATCAGAAATGATTACTCTAGAACAAGTATCCCTGTCTTTTTCAAATGAGAGCAGTTAGAGTTTCTTGCTCACTCCGCGTGAAAATGTCGAATATTATGACTATGGAAAAAACCGGAGGAATTGTGTTTAAGAATGTTCACCTTTCTTGTTTATTGCACGGTTGTTAACTACTGGAGCTCATTATTATCCTTTGTTGAATTTCTAATTACTAAACATTTCTTTCATTAGATATGAAATAGAACGAACAGCTGCACTTCATTTGGAAAAACACAAGTTTTTTATGCCCTTGAAGGGAGGATAACGAACGTCAATACATTGTTAAGATCTATAGAACGAATGACCACCGATCATGGCCGAGTTGGAAATTTTAATTTGAAAATTTAATTTTCTAAAACTTTTGTGCTGGTGTTGGGTCTCTAGCAACCGAGCTTCAGACTAAAAAGCGCTTTTTAGTGTCTTTCATCCTGAAGACCTGGTTGTACAAAGCTGAGCCTAGCAGATAAAATTTAGCAAAATTAAATTTGCACCACTTTCTGTTCCAAACTCAAGCTTGGGAAATTCTTCCTTTGTGGTGAAAAATTGAAAATTATCTTTAAAAAAGTGGTTTTCTCGAGTTTTCACTATGAAAGAGATATTTACCAAACTTGAGTCTAGAAGACGAAATGTAGCAAATTGAATTTTCTCAATTCTGTCTCCTAGGCTCAGCTTTGTACAGCTTGAGCTTCATGGTGCAAGACGATAATTTGCTGTTTTCTTAACAAGGCGATTTCTCACTAGTGTCGGAAATCGGCTTATACTAGATGCATCGTTCCGTTTTAACGATAGGATGGAATGGACTTGACTTAAAACGATGTTCAAGTAGATGAATTGATCGATATATCCCACGATGCATCGCCCGAACACATTATACGATGTATCGGCCGTTTTATCGGGCGATTTCACGCGTGTCTTATCTGAAGCCGGTACACACTTAGACTCATCTCCCGATATATTGCTCGATGAATCGGGTTAATATTGTTACTAGATACATAATCAGATACATCTAGAAATGACTCGGCTGTATATGTATTGCCCGATAACCCGATTCAACTTTTTCTCTTTTTTATGCATCTATCGCGTTTTGTATTCAGTATATCTAGTTGCATCGGGCGATACCCGACGCATTTTTCATGCTTGGGATTAATTCATATAAATCAATTAGATATTTTAATTCAATATTGAAAAGATGTTCATTTGTTAACATTTTTGGAATTTTTTTAAACATATTATTTTTCCTTTATAAACTCGCCTAATGTCAATACCATTTGTTGATGCATATCGTAAATAGATGAAGATACGATCCAGTGAACCAATTACTTTTAATAAATTATCTTCATTTTTTGTTATAAAATCTTAGAAGGTATATCTTTTATACAGCTAGTTTGTCTTTTCAACCAAAGATCAAATGTGTAGTGTCAACCAGTACGAAATGAAAATAGTATATGATTTATTAATGTAGACCGGTTTCGTATTCTTCGTCAGTACATTAACAATACAATAGTAAAAACGACGGGGCTTTATATACCATAAAGCAAATATAAATGTTATGCTCTGTCATAGATTACAAAAGCAAGAAAAACAAGATAAAAAAAAATTAAAAAATTTGCTGTT